CCTTTTGCGCAATCACCTTCAGACGCGCCAGGTCGTTCGGGTCCAGCGAGAACGGCGGCAGCACCAGCGTCGCATCGCCCGAATGCACACCCGCATTCTCGACGTGCTCCGACACGGCGTGCACCAGCAGCTCACCCTTGTACGCCACGGCGTCCACGTCGATCTCCTGCGCGTTGTCGATGAACTTGGAGATGACCACGGGGTAGTCGGTGTTCACCTCGGCCGCCGCCGTGAGGTGGTGCTCGAGCGTCGACTCGTCCCAGATCACGTTCATGGCCGCACCGGACAGCACGTACGACGGACGCACGAGCACGGGNCGGCCGCCGCCGTGAGGTGGTGCTCGAGCGTCGACTCGTCCCAGATCACGTTCATGGCCGCACCGGACAGCACGTACGACGGACGCACGAGCACGGGGTACTGCACGCGGTTGGCAAACTCCTTGGCCTTGTCCACGCTCGTCGCCTCGGTCCACTCGGGCTGGTCGACGCCGACATTGTCGAGGATCTGCGAGAACTTGTGCCTGTCCTCGGCCGAGTCGATCATGAGCGGGTCCGTGCCCAGCACGTTGACGCCCGTCTCCTTGAGGCGCAGCGCAATGTTCTGCGGCAGCTGGCCGCCCACGCTCACCACCACGCCCTGCGCACCCTCGAGCTCGTAGATGTCCATGACGCGCTCGAAGCCGAGCTCCTCAAAGTACATGCGGTCCGCCTCGTCAAAGTCGGTCGAGACGGTCTCGGGGTTGTAGTTGACCATGATGGTGCGGTGGCCCATGTCGCGCACCTTGCGCGCACACGTCACCGCACACCAGTCGAACTCGACCGACGAGCCGATGCGGTACACACCCGAGCCGAGCACCATGGTGCCGTCGTTGTCAAACTCGACGTCGTGCGTCGAGGCGTTGTAGGTGGTGTAGAGGTAGTTGGTCTGCGCCGGGTACTCGGCGGCGACCGTGTCGATGCGCTTGACAAACGGCGTGAGGCCGAACGCCTTGCGGTGGGCGCGCACCTCGTGCTCCTTGGAGTTGGTCAGCTTGGCGATCTGCTTGTCCGAGAAGCCGCGCTGCTTGGCGAGCTTCATGAGCTCCTTGTCGACGGCCGAGAGCGAGCCGAGCGCTTCGAGCTGGCGGTTGATGTCGACAATGTTCTGCAGCTTGTAGAGGAAGAAGCGGTCGATCTTGGTGAGCGCGTGCAGCCTCTCCACGTCGTAGTTCTTGACGAGCATGGCGTAGGCGATGGCAAAGAGGCGCGTGTCGGTGGGCACCGAGAGCGCATGGTCGAGGTCCTCGGGCGCAATGTAGGCGTCGAATCCGTCGTAGGCCGGGTTGACCTGACGGATGGCCTTCTGGAGCGACTCCTCAAAGGTGCGGCCGACGGACATGACCTCGCCGACCGACTTCATGCTGGAGCCGACCTCGCGGTTGACGTGCTGGAACTTGCTGAGGTCCCACTTGGGGATCTTGGTGACGACGTAGTCCAGCGCGGGCTCGAAGCACGCCGTGGTGGTCTTGGTCACGGCGTTGGGCAGCTCGGGGAGCGTGTAGCCGAGCGCGAGCTTGGCGGCCGTGTAGGCGAGCGGGTAGCCGGTGGCCTTGGAGGCGAGCGCCGACGAGCGCGACAGACGCGGATTCACCTCGATCACGCGGTACTCGCGGCTGTCTGGGCTGAGGGCGTACTGGATGTTGCACTCGCCGACGATGCCGAGGTGGCGGATGACCTTGAGGGCGGCGGAGCGCAGCATGTGGTAGTTGTCGTCCGACATGGTCTGGGAGGGAGCGACGACGATCGAGTCGCCCGTGTGGATGCCGAGCGGGTCGAAGTTCTCCATGTTGCAGCAGATGATGGCATTGTCCTCCTGGTCGCGCAGCACCTCGTACTCGGACTCCTTCCAGCCCTTGAGCGACTTTTCGACGAGGATCTGGGGGCTGAGGGAGAGGGAGCGGGCGGAGAGGTCGCGCAGCTCGTCCTCGTTGTCGGCGAAGCCGGAGCCGAGACCGCCGAGCGCGTAGGCGGCACGGACGATGACGGGGTAGCCAATCTCGGCGGCGGCCTTGAGCGCCTGGTTCACGGTGGAGACGGCCTCTGACTTTGCGACGGGGATGTTGATCTGGTCGAGCGCCTGGACGAAGAGGTCGCGGTCCTCGCACATGCGGAGGACGTCGACCTGGGAGCCGAGCACCTTGACGCCGAGGCGGTCAAAGACGCCCATCTCGTCGAGCTTGACGCCGACGTTGAGGGCGCTCTGGCCGCCAAAGGTGAGGAGGACACCGTCGGGGCGCTCCTTTTCGAGGACGTAGGCGACGTATTCGGGGGAGATGGGGAGGAAGTAGATCTGGCTTGCGAGGTGGTGGGAGGTCTGGATGGTGGCGATGTTGGGGTTGATNAGGCGACGTATTCGGGGGAGATGGGGAGGAAGTAGATCTGGCTTGCGAGGTGGTGGGAGGTCTGGATGGTGGCGATGTTGGGGTTGATCAGGATGGTCTCGATGCCGGACTCGCGGAGCGCCTTGATGGCCTGGGATCCGGAGTAGTCGAACTCGCCGGCCTGACCGATGGAGAGACCGCCGGAGCCGACGAGGAGGACCTTCTTGACGTCGGAGCGCTCCACCTTGGGGAGGTACTTGCTCCACTTTTGCAGGCCGGTTGCGGCGGGCTGGATGTCTTCGACGGCGGCCTTGGCGGCGGGGGTGGGCGCAGGTTCCTTGAGCAGGGCGGATGTGGAGAATCGCGAACGGAAGACCTTGGTGCCCGAAGTTGCGAGGCTGGCGCGGTGCAACGAGGCGGTTGCGGCCTGGCTGTGAAGGCTGCGAGCGACGCTGGGCAGCTTGAGGTTGGAGGTGGAAGCGACCTGCGAGGCGGCCGAGTTGGCGCCTCGCGACAAGGCTCGCACGCTTCGATACATGGTGTCGAGAGAACGACTTGGGGAGCTTGTCACCACCGCTTGCGGGTTCGTAGCGCTATCTTATCTTCGATACCAGTGCGGCGTCTGTGCGACACTGGGGAGCGGGGAGCGGGAAGCTCGGAGCTCGATGCGAGATGGAGGGAGTAGGCGTGGATCTGTGCGTACGACAGCGGCCAGGGTCTGCTGCGTTGCCGATCTCCGGGGTAGTTGCCACGATGGTTCTTGGAGGATGGATGGAGGGGGGAAGGATAGCAAGAGCAAAGCCGGACTGATATCCGGACGGCGATTGTGGGCCAAGACTCGTCTCTCTCTCTCTCTCTGCCGCTGACTCGGATTCCTAGTCAGAGGCGCCAGAGGGAAGCGCGAAAAAAAAAGTCCACGCTGCCGCAGGAGCGAAGAAGAAGAAAAAAATTCCCTCTGCTGCTGCTGCCGCTGCTGCTGCCGCTGCCTTTGTTTTTGCTCCGGCTTCTTGTCTGGAAGAAGACGATCCGCTCCTTGCTCTCCCCTCTCCCCTCCGTCTTCTGCTCCGTGCATCGATGCCGGTCCTGCCACTGTTTCGGTTGCCCTGTCACACGTGCATTCCAGCGCCCGCTGTCATGGACATGTCAAACATCGAAAGGAAGACAGATCCGACCCGAGATGGTGTGGTTGCCGTCGCCCCAAGCTGGTCCCGTCGATCACTCTTGGGTCGGTGCCACGCCTCTCCGCCCCGGAAATGCTGTTCGCTGATTGGCTGCGCTTTCGCTGTCTGGCTCTGCGGTGCGTGCAAAGTTTGATTCTGATTGGGTCTGAGATTGTGCCTTGCTAGCGCTGGGTGAGGGGCGAGTGACTCGGACGACCAAATGCACGCTCTCCAAGCTTCGATTTCAAACGCGGATTTTCTTCGGAAATCGCAGCCCAAAGTTGGCTTTTGAGGCTGCAGCGCCTGGAAGCTGATCCGCGCGCACCGACGCTTATCGCTCGCTGCGTCCCTGCCCTCGGGCCAACTGTCTCAATCGTGAATGATGTATGAGAATCTTATTCAAGGTGTGCAGAAGGCTCGACATCCCTACAGCTGGCCGGCTTCTGTAGCGATGGCTTCAGCGCAGCTGGGTTGCTAGATGCGCAATCACTTGATACCCTTCGGCCTTCCTCAAGATGCATTGCGAATTCTGCCGTTGGTGACCGGGGCCCCTGCAAGTCGTACGTTCGACACGATCATCAGGATAGATTCGTTGGCATGAAATGCAGCAATAATAGGGCTGTGTCTGGGAGAGCGCATCGGCTCGCTGGTTGAGAGCCCTAATGTGCAGCTGGATCTGTTCCCATTTCATTGTTGGAGGAGTCATTGCTGCAGGATTCGTGAGGACGGGCAATGAGTGTAAGGCAAGATGGAGTCGTGCACGTCTGGCGCTTGACCTGCACGAGTCCGATCCGTGTGCGACGATCTCACCTGGCAGCGGTGTGCAGCATCTGTTTGGTCTGCAAATGCCGCCCTTGCCCGGCGTCGGCTTTTGCCTGCCACAACTCACCCACTCCTCGCCTTGACCATGTCCAGCAGCCATCGTCCTTCTGCCACCAGACATGGAAGCCAGTCGAGTCATTCTCCAAGTCTGCCCTGTCGTTATCAGCGTGATTGACTTTGCCCCGAGCGTTGCCCCGAGTGTTGCCTCGAGGGTCATAGGTGCGGGGAATGCATGTGGATGAAAGTCGTACCCGATGTCGACCAGAAGCCCATGAGATCGGGAGATGACAAAATTCAAGGTCTAACACATTCGAACGAGCAGCAGCCCCTCCCGCACTCATGCATCCCGCATCGCCAGCTGTCGTCGTCTTCCGCACCGAGGCGGGCGAAGATGGCTTTGTGTCGCACCCGCTATCTGAGCTACTCTGAGCGTGGAGGGAAAGCGGGCGAGCGCTTCCCGCACCTTTCCGCACCTCGACCTGCTCTCAAAGCTACCCGCACCTCTCAGGAGCGGTCCGCAACCTGAGCTCAAAGCTATAAGATAGCGCCCGACTGCGAGTCTGCTCGTCACTCACTTCCACAACCTACCCTCACTCGGAGCCAAATCAAACAGCCCATTTACATCTTACTTGACCATCTCAACATCGACACTGACAGCCATGGGCAAGCACACCTACTTCGACAGCGACACCGAGATCGACGAGCTCGCCGACGTCGACGTCAAGAGCCCCAAGAAGGCCAAGAAGCAGACCAAGAAGGATGCCAAGTCCGTAGTTGGCGAAGACAGTCCCAACAAGCGCAAGCGTGCCGCTGGAACGTAAGTCAATCGTGCTCGCCATACCAACAGTTCGCTGTATCTGACCATCGTATGTCTGCTTTCACCTGCCACCAGTGGCGTGCGAAATGCCTGGGTAAGTCTCGAACCAAGATCGATCGTATCAAGCATGGATATTGACCCGACCAGGAACTACAGACCAAGGAGGAGGAGGAGGACTTCCTCGACTGCCTGCAGGACGTCATTGCAGCTGGCATGAGCAGCGCCCTGCACAACTACCCCAGGTAAGCATCCGTCATCCCAACCTCCCCAAAGCGGAGCCGTTGAACTCACGCGCTGTTCGGCACGATCTCCTGCTTGTGTTGCTTGTGATCCTCGATGTCGCTTCCACCTTGTAGGCTGGCAGCCAGATCGAGCGGGAGCTGCCTCAAGCACTGGTACTCGTGGCGCCGTCGACAGGAGATCAGCATGCTCGGAGCACCCACCATCGACAAGAACGGCAAGAAGCTCCCCAACTTTGTCCTGCCCGACAAGAAGGACGATAGCCGCCTACCGGCCCATGATCGCTAGGCATCCATGACGCTCACCATTGCCACGCTCGGAGCTAGCCATGTCCATCAACTCGTCGATCAATCATCTCAGACCACGCCCCAGAAGGCGCGACTGCTCAACCGAGGTCATCACAGCTGACGTTGCTACACGGGATGGATATTGCATGCTCGCCAATGCGCGGGGCTAGGCGATTTGGAACTCGTCTGCGCCGTGTGCGCCGAGCACGCCGTGTTTCTTGCTCATCTTGCCGAGTGCTCTGACCTTGGCGTACATCCTGGCCTCTGCATCTGTCTGTTTGGCCTTTTCGCCCGCGACACCCGCGGCCGCTGCGGCCCTCGCCGCCTCCCTGGCCAACTTCTTGCTCCTGTTCGATCCATCCGCATTTGCCACGATGCTTTCCGTAAGCTTGGCCAGTGCAGCCTTGTCGAGTTCGAACCCGTCGGTCTTGTTGCGCTTTGCGCGCGTCTCGTAATCCGATCCCCCATCTTCATCATCCGAATCGTCATCCGAGTCTGTGTCGGATCGTGCGCGCTTGTCTCCCGTCGAAACCGTCTTGGCTTCAAACTTGGTTGAGGCTGTGGCGAGGGAGGCACTTTTGGCGCCGAGAGATCGAGGTGCCTCGCGGAGGGCAAACGCCTTTGCAAGATGACCGAGATGAAGCGCTCGTACGTTGAAGTACTGCTTTTCGTCGGCAGAGTGCGTGGCATACGCCCGAACGTGCGAGAGAAACGCCTTGCGTGCAAACAAACTCGGCCTCTCGCCAGAAATCACCCATCGCTCAAAGGCTAGTTGCACCCCCGTCGCACGAGACTGGTACTCGAGCGTCCCCGTCGCTCCTCCAAACCCTTGCTGCAGAATAACCTCGATCGAAGCAGGACTGATCTTCTTGGCATGACCCTGGTTCTTGGACTCCACCACTGCATCGTCACCCACAGTGGCCTGAATCGTCATGTTGGCCTCCAACACGTTGTCCACCCATCCAAGCTCTTGCGGTAGAACCATAAGCCAGCTCTCACCGGGTCGTCCCACACGTGCGGTACGACCAACCCGATGCAGATACTCCTCGATACCTCCCTCGGTGGGTGGGTCGAGTTGAATCACACATCCTACGTCCGGCAAGTCGAGACCTCGACTGGCGACACTCGTACACAGCAGAATGCTGCCCTGGAATCCGACCGGCGCTGCATCCTTGGCGCTCTTCCTGCCCGAAAAGCCGCGCAGACTCGCAATACGCTCCTGCTGGCTCATCGAACCGTGCAGTCGGAAGATGGGCACGCCCGGGATGAGTTCCGAGTTGGTGTGCGCCGGCAGCTGTTCGTCCTCCACCTCGACGTTGGCGTCGGGCGCGTTCTCGTCGGCGTTCATCTTGGCGCCGCCCAGAGCGGCGTAGTGGAAGTCGACCGAGTCAGTGCAGCTCATGAATACGATGACTCGGCCAGCGCCTGCCTGTCGCAGGACCGGGTCGGCGTCTTCGGACTGACGGCGTGCGCGCGAGATGTACGCACGGAGGAGCGAGAGCAGCGTCACCAGCCTGAGCTTGGGCGGCGTCGCGACGAAGCTCTGCGCGAGCTGCGCGGGCGCAGCGAACTTCTTTGGCTCCTTGTCCACCTTGCCAGCCTGGTCTGCTGCAGCATCGGGCGATGCAGAATCGGCGGCGTCGTTGGTGGGCTCTGCGTCGTCCTTGATGCCACGGACGATCTTGGGGTTGATGAGCGTCTTGCCCGCCAGCACCTGTACGTTTTCGTCCAGCGTGGCCGAGCAGAGGACGACGCGCCTTGGATGCGCCCACCACGTCATACCCAGCGTGTCCATGACGTCCGAGTCGGCAATCCAGTCCGCATCTCCGGGAGCGGCGCCCTCTTCGAAGCCGGGCATGGCGTGACGCGCGGCGGTGCACGCGAGGTTGCGGCGGCCATCGAGCGCTCGAACGATTCCAGTGAGCTGCTCCTCGAAGCCCATTTCCAGCAAACGATCGGCCTCGTCGAGGACAAGCCATCTGCACTTGCCCACGTCGAAGCTCGACGTGTTCTGCAGATGGTCAAGCAACCTTCCCGGGGTGGAGACGAGGATCGGACAACCCTTCCGCAGTCGCTGCTTCTCGTGGTTCTTGGTGGAGCCACCCGAGAGCAGGCCCGGTACGAGCCAGCGTGTGCGTCGCACTGCACCGTCATCGTCTTGGTTCTGCTCCTTGAGACTGAGTGCGAGCGAGACGAGCTTTTCGAGCACCTCGTAGATCTGCCTGGCGAGTTCGCGGGTGGGAGCAAGGATGATGGCGAGTGTGCCGACGGATCTGTCGATGAAGGATTCCTCGCACAGAGGCAAGAGGCTTTGGACGATGGGGAGGAGGTAGGTGAGCGTCTTTCCTGAACCAGTCTGTGCCTGGATGAGGATGTCGCGGTCGAGACCTGGGTGGAGCAGATGCGGAAGCGCTGCCTGCTGGATCGAGGTGGGGTTGGAGCCGATCTTCATCTTGGAGGCCAGGTGGTACACAAGCAAGGGGTCGAGGCCGAGCTCGGCAAAGTTGGACGCGGCCGAAGGTGCGTTGGTGGGGTCGTATGCTTTGCGTTGGAAGGGCAGGAGGGGTGTGTTGGGATCTTCGATGACTCCGTGTGCGGGGAAGAGCGCACTAACGACACCGCCGCTGGCCGATTTGGCGTTTGACGATGAAGGTCCTGCGTTCGAAGCTGGTTGTGCCTGTGCGGGTGCCGCTGTCTTGACCTTGCGTGACGAGGCCGCTGCAGACGATGCCGCTCTGCTTGTAGAAGGCGCCGAGCGAGGGTCGAAGCGTGGGAGGACGGGAGCAGGAGCAGCAGGAGCGCTTGCGGTCTGTGGCTCTATCCTCTGCCTCTGCACCACTTCGCGGGCTGTGTTGGCACGAGAAGAGGACGGCGTAGCTGGTGCCGAGGTGGCATTTCCACCGGGCGTCGCTGCGGTCTGCTTTGCCTCGCTCCTCCTGAGCTGCTGTGCGGTCCTCTTTTGTGCGAAGCGTGCCTTGGCGGTCTGCTTGGGTCGCTTGGCTGCACCTGCTGGCGATGCTGCTGCAGGTGCAAAGTTGAGCATGAGCCCATCGTCGTTGTCGTCCATCTTGGCTATGGGTGAAGGCGGGATGGTTGAGAGCGGAAGCAAAGCTGTGATTGCTGTCTTTGTGTCGTTGCACCAAAAGTCACGTCAGGGTCCTTTTTCGCTCCTTTGGCCCTTCCTGCCGGTGCTTTGAAATTCTCAAAACTTTCTTCCTGCTGCTGCCCCGCCCGGATTTTTTTCTTCTATTTTTCGCCTTTTCCGTCTTCCGAGCTGAGGAGCAACGCCAAAAAAAAAA